GCATGTTACATAAACTGACATTTCCACTCTTGTAACTCAATGTTTAGTGTGAAATAGTTGAAACCCTCATCAAGTAGGCTTGAGGCTTCTGAGCATGTACAATGATTTTTTTTTTTTATCGAGTCACATATTGATATTTTGGGAGCCGCATGTTCATGCCTTGCTCCCCCTCAAATGTATTACTGAGAGTCCCCGGATTCAAAATCGATATACCCAAGTAAATCCCTGTGCATATGACTATGAGGAATTTCAATTTTCAATTGTTGTCATTTACATTATTTGGGGGGAACAAAAGATCTCAGCCAGAGTCATCTGTAGTCTTGACGGGAGCATCACACCAAACCATGTTCCATTATGAAATACAGGCAGGTACATTAATAATGTAGCCTGGTGATGTCTGCTGACGAAGACATCAATCCTCCACGCTCCTCATGCTGACAACCCAGAGCACATGCTACCAATATCAACCCCTACACCGAAACAGACACCAGTAGAAATAATGATAGAGTGTGAATCGTTGCCATTCTTATGATGGGAGATCATGCATTCCTTAATAAATCTTTGTCAAAGAAACTTAAAATCTGTTGAGTCACTAAGGGGAACATTTGCCAACTGTGTAAGGTGGTGCAGGAATAGTTCTCCATGAAACATTACACTAGTTCTTTCATCTACCATCAATTACTTGATTTGGGAGAGAAAAAATAACCATGGGTCCAGAAAGATTTTGAGTTAAAAATGGTATGACATTATTATCACCAACTTTGCATCATCATTCACTGAGGCTCAATCCTGATCACTGTCCTTGAATCAGCAGTCAGTGTTGGCACTTTTATACACAACAAACACATCAATGTCTCTCGTCCTAACAGAATCTTAAAAGACTTAAAGAGACATAAGTCCACTGAATTGTGTTCAGCCCTGATTACTGTCCTCTCTTTCCCAGCATGGTCCCTCAATCTCTACCATCACACTTCCTGGCTGGAGCACCAAGTGCTCGCTTTATCCCTGGTCCTACCAAACATGCATGTTGACGACCCTACTGGTCCTTATTGAGTCGCATGACCCAAGTCTTCTTATCTGCTTCCTTTTTGACTACAATGGCCACGAAGCCATGAGACTGCCAACCCCTCCTTCTCTCCCCCACAAACTGGCTGCTTCAAGTGGCTAGTCTGTTTGAACAACATTCTCGGATGTACAGACTTAACCCCTTCCCTGTTATGTAATGCTGCCCAGCATGCAGTGCCTCAACTTATATTCTGTTGTAAATCTACCCAACCTCTCAAACATGATATAAAGTTGGTTACCTCTGATCCGTACACTGGGATACACCTCCAACTTTCATTCAACAACTGATTCAGTTTTCTTATTCATTTGAATTTCAAGAATATCATCAAGTCATAGGTTTTTTAATTTAATCAAATTACTGAATACAAGTTTTGACACTGTACAGTTCTGCTAGTCTGAGACTAGTGATAAATAGCAAGGACTAATAGTCTCCTTCCAGAATGTAGTAGCAACAAATAAATTTGTTCAAATGAATAGTGGATTACTTGGATTTAGCCCATGATGTCTACCCTTGCTACAGGCATTGTCCTAATGGTGCATATGAACAGTTTGAAGAGTGACTGCAATGGTTTGCCTAAGATCATGTTTTGGGTTGGCCTTGAAAAGGGGAGATTTTCTCCAGGACTACCTACAAGCCCACAGTCCATGGAAATTCTTTCAAGACTAAACTTATGTTTACAGATATCCTTGTGAAAAACATGAACAATTGAGAGTGATATTCAATTACATGTTGTCACAAAAACGTATTTTAAAAATCTCAGTAGACAGCTTTTGTCGTGACTTAATTTATTCTTTTCTTCATCAAAAGCCAAATGTCTGTAAAATACATTACTGTGGTGAGACAAAGCTGTCCGGGAGGAAGATAGAAACGAATATAAAACATATTCATTACCGGTACAAGCACTTTCAAGAGTTGTGCTGCACACAGCAGTATGCTAAACCAAATAGGCAATTGCCCTTGATGCCTGGAATGTGATATATTCTGTTAAGCAGAAACTGATAAAAGATTTATCATGAAGGAAACAGGGAAAAGACTACCAGAGAGTAAATATTTCCGTGACTATATTTGACAGGTTGTAATACAAGTTCTAAACAGGAAATCATCTGCGATTTAGAGGCACTTACTAGTTATCTTATCATGGATGTTCAGTCCCTGGAACCTGCAAACGTAATTACTCATGCACAATTAACTTCCCCGTGCCCTCCCTGAACGGCACATAGAAGGGATTGTTGAACCCACTTCAATGCACTTCAAATGTTTCCATTTAAAGCATGCAAAAAATAACCTTATGTGTAGACCTGTATCTGCACGATACAAGAATATTTAGTTGCACGATACAAGAATATTTAGTATGTCCACATTCAACCTGACAAAGACTTGACCCTAATCAACTGGTGAGTTCTGCTGTGAAATTCAATAGTTCTCTTCAAGAATCGACTTCTCATGGATGCGGGACCACTTGGTGGAAGTTTCCACATATGATAGATACATGAAGCCAGATATATAATAGCATCAGAACTATCAACTCCCAACCCTTCAGTACATAGTCTGTGACTTCAGCCAGTAGTCCCAAGCCTGAGTCGAGTCAAATTCTGTTTGTTCAAGTAAGCTCAGCTACAATTGTCCATATGATTGCACTAAACTCTACCGAAAATGATGCTTTCATAGCGCCATGTTTGGGCTAGTAGAAGGAAACATTTTAGCCCAGACTAAGTAAAATTCCTTTCATAAGCAGATAAACTAGTTAGTGACTTATAAATCAAAAGTCCTATATTTTCAAGTCTAGTTCCCTAGTTATAAATCAATTGATTCTAAAAAGTGTTAAGTCCGAATAACATAGGAAACGGCTGATGTTTGGGCTTTACCGGTACTTACTTTCCTGTCACTGATTTCACCAGAGAAATGTTACTGGTATATATATATATTTTTCCATGACTTTATAACACGTTTCTATTTCCAAAACTATTTCAGGCCTGTTAAAGCACAAGTAGACTTCCATGACTATTCCAGTCTTTCCTGACCCTTATGAACCCTGTGTAAAAGAGAATGCCACCCCCATAATTCCATGACTTCAAGTCATGAGCACACAGAGTGAGGAGAGAAAACCTGACAACAATGTTATCTATCAAGTCCCAGGAACAGAGGGTTGGACCTTGATAAATAGAGGGGACACCTCCTGTCCTGAAATCTACATGCCAATACACTGGTCCCATTCCTGGCTCCCACACCTGCAGTGCACTTAGGATAGCTCACAAAGATTTGTATTTCAAAGAGAACTAGGCATTCTTCTACTGTGTGGCACATTAACAAATTAAAAGTTGTGAGTTTTTTATGAGATCTGGGGAAGCAATTTAGACAGGATGAAATCTTGTTACATGATAACCTAAAATATTAAAATACTGGAAGACAAATTGAAATGGTTCATGATAATAAATATCATCAACATTATTGTGGTCACAGAAATCTCTACAATTTCAGCAGATTGTTTATTATTCTAATTCTTAAACTAAAACTTAACCATATTAAACATTAACATTATGACATTAACATAGCAAGTATCTACCAGCTTACCTTACTCAAACTTAGAAAGTTCTCATAAATTGGGATCAATATTATAACACCATATATGATATGATTAGATAGCGCTACATTCTGATGTCAAGTTTCGTATTACACTGGATGTAGTTAGGCTGTGTCGTATTCTTCACTTGGTGTTAAGACTGGCAGAGACAGCCTGGTGAGACATGGCAACATATGCTTCTTTCTCAACCCAATATAAAATCTGGAATAATTTCAAGTTGCTTTGCAACAGCTGCAGACAAAGCCACCTTTCCTGTGGAGACAGAAATTAAAGCCTGTTTGTGGGTGGGGTAGCAGTGACAATCAAACTTCCATAGGCTGTTCTGTGGCTGCCTGAAACGCATGTCACAGTGACAAACCTCAATCTTATATCAACTGTCCCCCTTACATTTCTAGGTATATAGGAAACTGGTTTTGTGAGTGAGAATTGATTCTAACAGATGAGAATTAGACGGCAGTGAAGGAAAGCCAATCAATAACTTGTGCCTATCATAGCAGAGCAAATATGCTGGTATCAACAAGTGGCCTTTCTGCCAACCAGCCAGCCGACAAGCCTGGGAACGAGGGGGCCTACTAGTGACTGAACACCAGGAGGGAGATGGTAGCAGAGTCAACGGAGTATTGTGGCCTGGATCTGCCACAGGGTAGTCCAGGAGGTACTCGCAATGGTATTATCAGAAACCAGGTCAGGTCTCCATTACTTCTGAGTCACAGCATTTCAAACTCCTATCAAATACTTTTCTCCCTTTAGGCCTCACAACGGATAATGATTTGAGATGCAGGCAACCATAGAAATCAAGAATCTAACTCATAAAATATGTGTGGTGACCATATTTCCTGGTAATGTTGTTGATAACGTGTATAAATGTAGGAGCACCTGGGTGCCCCCATAAGATTTGGCAGGTACAACAGGTGCCCCTTATAATAAATACACCTGTAGCTTGCCCTTTCATCCAATGACATTGATACTTCAACATCGAGCAAACATAGCATCATACATGCACCCAATTGCCTCATTATAAGACTAACAGTGACAGAGCTATATAAACCAAGTAGGGAATAAAGGTAGAAATAAAACAGAGAATAAACAGTAGGCAACCAGCTCAGTTCAGTAGAACAAAGAGCCACAAGATCAAAGACAGTGGCTGCTTGACTTGAGGGCATTATAGTGAGGCAACACAGGAGAGCTGTACAGGTGGGAGTGTCCCATGAGTTGAGTCCATCATTCTAAGAAAGTGACTGTGTCACATCACAAATTCCTTTTAACTTGTACAACTTCAAAAAGTGGTTGTAGCTACTATCTCAAACAGTAAATACCAAGTGGGGAAGAAAGATTTAAGACATTTAAACTTACCATGATGAAGAGAGAGAGAGAGAGTGTCGTCTGCTAGCAAGTCCGTCTGCTGCCTCTGTGCCTGCTACCTGTGATTATGACCGTGACTCGATTCCGCTTTCCTGTGCTACCTGATTACGTCAACTTAGCCTCGACTGCTGAACAGAATGCTTCATAAATATGTTGGTGTAAAAACTGTATATCTCTTTTAGGCGTACCAACATGTGCCACGGAGCCTCTCCACTTAGTCAATACTAGTTCAATGGCTCTATATTTAGAATCACAAGAGCATGTCAACAGAAAGTCTGGATCCAAAGACTTAAAAAAGTCCCCACAAAAGAATAAGCAGTCTTTCAACAGGCCACTTGCTGCCAAGCCTGCACAATAGAAAGTTTTAATCAGAGAGGTCTGAGCGAATCCTATCCCCGTGTGTGTGGACTGAGGATGATAAACGATAAACCATTGTTGTCGCAGCCAGGCCGGCAGGGAGAGAGACTGTCGGACTTAAGAGACAGGTAGCTGACGAGTCCCGAAATGAATCGAGGTGCTTCAAACGGCTTGTCACATGGTATTCTGCTGAGAGGCAGAGCTAGCGGTTCGCTTAATGGACGACTATCAGGCGTGGAGGCCTGGGACCAACCAAATCCATGAGCTTGGGTCTCATGCTGATAGGATCTGGGCCATACCTGAATTCAATCTCTTTGAACTTTGAGCTGGGACCAGCAACTCCATCTGTGACAAGGAGTAGAGGTCCCTGGGGTTCAGCACAATAAAACCTGGCACCAGATTAACTCAACAGTCTGCAGTTACCTGCTTCTTGCATAACCCCACACATAATTGGCTGGATAAAATACTACTTACATACTCATTTACTGGTGCTGAGAAGCCTGAATGTTTCAGTAGCAGTTGTGAGCACCAATGCTTTCAACACAGTGTTTTCCTTTTCAAAAAGAAACCTTATAAATGCTTACTTCTTAATTCATATTGTATCATGAACTTTTACTTTTTGGAAAAAATTCCTTTCATGTTTTGAAAATTACTTGATTTGAGAATTTTCAAACCTACTTTAGCTACATCCATAAATGCCAATAAATTTTCCTGATCAAATTTAACTTTCACAAACTTTATGTATACACTTATTTTTTTCCTTCCCTGGACATTCTGCAACCAATTTCAAGGAAACAGTGATTATCTGTTATCTGAACCTGCAACTTTCACCAAGGAAGGATCTCACTTGCCGGTGGGGGTGTTTCCTTCAAGCATATTTTAAGGGCAATGGCAGTCCCATAAAGCCATGGCTCCCTTAGCTACCTGCAATTAAGCTTGGTTTTATTACAGGTAGAATTCAACAGGTAGCTGTGATTTCATCAGGTAATCAGAAACATCACTTTTTCATCTTCAGTTGGGCTAACATCTTTCATAATATCTGTCTTTGTTGAACATTATCCTTGATAAGAGTAGTCATTTCTAGGCAGTGAAAAAAAGTCTGTAACTAATTTCAATGTAAATTTGATTAAAAAAAAGATTTGTTCTAACAACGTAGAAATTCATATGCCTGAATTAAGTAAGATGTGATTGATAATAATATCAACATCTAAACACAAAGACACATACACTGCTACCCATTATTCAACATTTTACATTACACAACCAAAATAATGTTATTCACAACCTTTCTGTCTGGTAATTCCACAGCCAAGCCACACAGATGACAAAATTCATCTACAGCAGTTTAACTGTATCAGTTTAATCTGGCAGGGTAATCTTGGTACATGAACTACGGTGAGTAGAAAGGACGCCTGCCATCATATACCTTGTATGCAGTAACAAACATTCCATAGTCTGTACTTTGCTCCATGCTACAGGAAACATGAGCTGTATACTGTCTTGTCTCAATCTAGCCAACTTGTTTTACATGGATCTAATCCCACTTAGTGACACTCCTACCCGCTGAAGACGATCAATATATGAAATAGCGTCTTTCTGCCCCCTCCCAACATTGTACTATTTTCCTTGCATGCTTAAAAAAACCCACTAAAATGTTCTTTAAACTAAGTGATCTTATCTGCCAGTAAATCAACAATGAAGCTGCATACTGACATACATGTGTAGAGACTGCATGAAAGTTAGTACTAATAGCCCATGATAAAATACTCCTTACTATGCTATACTATCATAAATACATGTCAGGACACCCCCTGAACATACACGTTTTCAATTACGACAGAATTATTACTTTTTACAAAACATAATTAATATGGGATCAACAACCAACACACCAGGGCCCAACTATTGGTCATTCTCATGACATACAACATATGCAAGATATATGGAAGAAAATAACTTGTTTTCATGACCAGGCATGGTTATCCCGAAACAATGTGTCCTCAATCAAAACTGTATGGCTCCTCTTTTCACAGGAGAACAGTTTGAAGCAGTAACCGAAACAAGTCCTATCTCTAACAGACATCCCGGCCCCCTCCACCCCTTCCAAGAATAATGGTGGATCCCTAGAATAGATAATTTCTCACTCAAATCAAATTGTGTTGTTTTTTTCCTTGATTCTTAATTCTTGCCAATCTGTGCCAATTCAATCCAACTCAATTACAGCCACAGTGGTTCTAATTGCCGTGTTGTGAACAGCTACAGCCAATCATCAAACTTATGCTAATTAACACTGTATAACAGCACTGTCTATGACCCATAAAACAAAACTATTGCAAACATAGACTGTCAATCACAATGGTATAAAAGAGCTATCCAACTGCTTGAAAGTCAACAGATGCGATGTGAGATTAAGTCAAGCAACAGAATCAATACTAGGAATCCCTCAGCCTTCACTTACTGGTCATAAATTCAACACCTGTCATATGAATCAATGGAGTTCTATTTTTTCTGTAACTTCAAAATCAGAATTTTCCATTTTGGCAACATATGTGATTGTTTCTGATGAACTTGTTTTATTGATCAGAAATTTATGAAGAACAAAGCATCCCCTACATGTGTTTCACACGTTTCAATAAATGAAAAATTACTCCATTACATGTTTATATATTGGAGTTCTGGGAAAATAAGTTAAGAAATATTTCTTTGCTTAAGACAGTCTGTTTGAGTTTCATAATACACCACCATGAAGTTGTTTTGGAAAGACATATGGGGATAGTCAAATCTATTCCTGCTTGCACACTGGTTTGTTATATTTACTGATGGCACCTTCTAAACCTAGGTGTGGAGTGATGGGGTAGTCTTAGTTAGCAAAGTGTTTGCTCCTCATAACAATGACCTATGTCACCAAAGACCTACCTTCTTTTCTGATATCTTGGTACCTTCAGACAGGAGTTTTCAGTACCAGAAATATAGCAATTTCATTTCAAATTTGATATTTTACCTCTATCATATCTTTCAAATAGAAAAAACCAGTAATGTTCGTGAACCAGTACTTGAAGGTATCTATCAATCATGCCATTGAAACCAAGTGATTTAGGAATAAGGTGCTCCGGGAAGATCTACAGACGCCAGTTGTAAACTATTTCCATCATGACTCCTCACAAGCCCTGTCAATATATCCTGGGGCAAACCGCTATGATATATAACATTTCATTGGAATCTGGAAACATATTCAGGAGCCAAATGTTGACAAGTGGCCAGGTTCTAGAGGCATCCAACGTGTTTAAGAACAGCCTTTTCACATGTAGCTGATCAACACTTAACATGATTCACAGCATCACTTACAATCAGAGGTAAACTTTAAATAAATCATCAAGACATCAAGTTCACTCTGGCAGTGTTCCAAGTTCATCACTTCTTTGTTGGTTACTTTGCAAATTATAAATTTCTCCACACAAAAAATCCCAGAAGAGTGACAAGTGAAGGTGAAGGTGTGATAGTCTAACCAAGTATCAAATAGTACTAAAATGCATTTCATCATTACCTTTAACAAACTTTCAATTATCATGAAAAGTGTTTTATTCAACATCTGATCCAAAGAAAACTTCAGAAGCAAAAAACTGCTACTTCTTGTGGTACTTGTGATCCTGTTATTGTCTACAAAGTCCATAACAAGACAATATGACCAGGAAACAAGGTCCAGCAAAAGTAGAAACACAATTATTGTATGGAATATTTCCATGCCACATGTTCCTCTTGAAATGAAGTGTAACAGACATCCTTTCAGGATCTGAAAATGGCCATTTTGAACTGGTTAATTATCTTGTATTTTACCCAGAGTTGAGAGTTTATAAAAGTTGGGATTATCACGGCTGGTGACACCATCACTGCACTTCATCATCTGCATCCCAGTCTTGGACAAAAACCAACCAGAATTTGAGTTTTTATATAATTTTCTGTACATTCAAGACACAGGCTTGGGACGCGTTGCTGAAGTCTGGTGGGGAAACACACCTGGGTCGTCCATACCACGAAGCTACATCCCTGTCCACCTGTCTTTTCTCAACTCCTATCATGTAGTAGGATATTGGCATTAATACACTGGAATAGTAGTGTTGCATGTGTGAGGTGCTTTACTTGATGTGTACCAGTACCACACAGTTTTGGTTTGTTGCTGTCTGTTGATATACAGCACATATATCCCATATATTCAGTATGCTTACATTCCATCAGAAACAAGATTCATCTAGCTACACATCAGGATATTGAGGGTATTTGAAACATTGATTCATCTGATTTATTTATTTGCTGGTTTCTCAAAATACATGAGCCATATCTGAATATTCACCTGGAAAAGTAAGGACCCAATCACCAACTACGAAGTGGCTAATTTCCTACAAGGTCTGGAGCCAAGTTTAGCTTCCACTACCGATGTAGACTGAACTATCTTCCTGGTAAACCAAACCACCAGTGACATTTTATCCTAGAAGCTGTGTCCTCATCGTCCACCATGATTGATAGAATAACACCAGATGATTAGTTCAGGGTCGGCCACCAGTCAACTGTATCAGAGAGTGCCAAATATTCCCACTTAACTCTCAATCATAACTCAGGCCCATATGCCAAGTGAGGACTTCCCTACGGCCCTTTTAGTAGCTTTCGCAAGTTGTGCATCGTTAGACTGTGCCGGCATTCACAGAAGTTTCAATGATGAGATCAAACTAATATTTCCTAAGCTTTATGCATACTGTATGTGATAGTTTAAGTTATTATTTGATTCAGAATCATCCTTTTAGTCATGCACTTGTTTCAACCAGCCATTGAGACTACACTCCACACTTTACATATTTATAGGAATGTCCTACAAACTGTAAGAATGATCCCAATGTAACCAACTCTCCCATGACGTCACAGTCCTGACATTTAGTCCCAGAAATAAAGTACCGGGTAATCTTATTTAAAAAACATATCTAC